ATCTCCATCCAAAAGCCTCCAAAAGCATCAAATCTCAATGGAAATCTCCAAATTTTCAATAGAAATCTCCATCCAAAAGCCTCCAAAAGAATCAAATCTCAATGGAAATCTCCAAATGTTTGATAGAAATCTCAATCCAAAAGCCTGTAAGATAAGCAAATCCCAGCAAATTCAAAAGGGAAAAAGTAAACTATAACCATAAAAACAAATCCACTGCAACTACCCCTCCCAAAAAAAAAAGACATTATTCTAGGGGCCTTTATTAATCAGTGCAGGGAAAAAAAAAGACATAATTCTAGAGGTCTTTATTAATCTGAGGACTACATTAGTGCAACATCTCCATGCCAAGGGTGCAGCAAAGACAACCATGTTGGCAAGACATATTGCAACAGGCCCCCCGATGATAGTGACCCCACAACCACGTGCCTCTAAGACTCTAAGAATGTATTGGAAGTCATGTCTATCCATTCGGGGTACCTCTAGAACACCCATTGGTCTCGCACGGCTTCACCGTTGCATCTCATCCATCGCCTTCAAGACTTGGGCATAGCACTCGAAGGCCTGCAGCGCTTTCTTTTCGTCGTGCCCGCGCAGTCCGAGACACTCGAAAGACACTCTCCGATGCGAACCTGGCGCTGCTGAGGCATGCTATAATGCAATTTACAGGCTTCTGTGATGACCTCATACCCTGCGTCCCATCCCTTCACAGTTAAAATAAAAAGAAAAACCACCTCAGAAGCCCATGCAGTGTGGGTCGAGCAAACCGGCACTGTGTTTTGGGCAAAAAATCCCGCATTCACCAATCAGTTTCAACACATGCAAGTGTGCACGAAAATACATGCACAAATATGTGCACACCCTTGGGACCTTGAATTGGGATGAATGGGGCTTTATTCTTTGTGCACCTTTCAGCAAGCATCCCTCAAACACTTCTCCAAGTGGGGAAGGCTTCTTTCCAAGGGCATCCAACACTCTGGGCTTGTGGCCAGCGAGAAACAGCTGGTTTTTCTTCCTAGAGACGATGACCTTCCTTCCGCCCATTCACGAATCGAATCGGTCCGGAGGGTCTGCTGACCTTGTCGGAGCCGAATCGAAAGAAGAAGCCTTTTCGCTATGAAAAAAGACCCGCGTGCGGTGCCGCGTGCCCGTTTTGCTGGTTTTCCCCTCTCATAGTTGGTAGAAAGCCCTCTCATTAGCCCTTACTTCTCATAGCCCTTCATGAAGGGCGGGCTTTTGATTTTTCGGATCGTTCGACCTCGACGCGCCTGTGGCAGGTCGCCCTTCATGACCAGCTGGTCACCCTTCTGCCTTGGAAGCCGCCGGTTCGCCGTTTGGGAGCCTTTCCGCGACCGTTTCGTCATTTTGGAAGAGGGTTCTACTCAAAAGTAGATGAATTTTGGAAACCATTCTTACTGGACTTTGGCATGTTCATGCATGTTCCATCTTCTTTCAAACCCTAGAACACGTAAAAGAACAAACCGCATCCATCTTTGCCCTGAAGCGTTTGATTTGGGAAACAAATCCGGCAGCCCAAGGCTGTGCAAGGCCAGAAACCCACACCTAGTGGTCGCCAAGGAGCTCCCACTTCGAAGGGCTGATCCTTCCAAGTGCACGAAGTTCCAGGTCCAAAATCCCTTGCAAATGTTCCTCGCACCCAACGGAGACCGTTTCGCACGCTGCGCGGCCAAACGGGAGGACCGGAGGACTCCGGTCGCCCGGTGAGTGATTCGATTCGGACCGAGATTCGACGGCCGGACGCTGCCGGAAGTTGATGCTTGCTGTTCATGACATGGGAAGCTGCATGTGGATGGAAAATGATGGAAACCACTAATTAGTGCACGTCTGATCTTTGTGTTGCGCAAATTTCGTTGAGACCAACGAGCGTTTTCACTTGCGGAATTGACAGGATGGGTGACAGGCAAGGCTCTACTGCCAGTGCTGGACGGTGGTTCTTCTCATAGAAGCAGGAGAGGACATAGTGAACCTGATGGGTTCTCCAGGATCGGCGCAGGGCGGCCAGAAAGAGATCTGATCGAGTGATCCAGGGCCCAAAACGCCCAAGAGGTGACGAACATGGGGACGATATCACGAACAAATGGGCCCAGCCGGACCGGTGACGATAGCACTTTCAACCTCCAAAACTCATCAAAATGTCCATGTCACTCTCCTCTCTCCTGGTTTTGGGAAGGGCGGGGGTCGACCCACACCGACCCAACCCTGGAACTTCGAGAAGGGCATTGCCCATGGCAAAGCCAACTGGAACATCACTGGATTCCCAAAAGCACACACGAATTACAAGGGAATTTGAGGCACTGGTGGGTAACAACGACGTGTAATTTTATAACAACAAACAACACTTCAATGGCCCCAAACTTGTTCTTTGGACTCTGTCTACTGCACAAGTGAAATGTATGATGCGCGCGTTTAAAATCAAAAATTGATGCTTCAGGGCGGTGCTGGACTATCTTGCCCATAAAACCCAATAAACATATGTTCATAATTGTGCAGCGACAAATTCGGATTGTGCGAACCTTTTCAGCGACTGCTGCCTCAAGCATGAGGTCTTGTGGCCCAAGCAAGCCACATGCAAAGTGGCGCCCTCTTGTCGGGCATCTGTGCAAGTGACTTGAGCAGCAAATTCATCCAGCGGGCAACTGTGGAGGGCCTCGTCTGGAAACGTTTGGAGCTTCAGGCAGTGTAGCGGCGTAATGCTTCTGCGATAGCAGTCCCAAAGGCCTCTGCACTCTTCACCAAATCGCACCTCATCTCAATGACCAATGTAAAGCACCCAGCCTCACGTGCCAAAGTCACAATCAATTTTCAGCCTTCAGGCTTCAGGCCTGTTGAAACCCACTTTATACTGGTTGGAATTATCCTCACTGCTTTCTCTTTCATCAACATCACATCACGAAAAAAGCTGGGCTGCGCGGCTGCAGGAAAAAACCCAGCACGCCTCCTTGCAAAACTCATCCCCAAGCTGACTGGCCGCATGTGACCAATCGCCCATCCGCAGTGCCAACTCCCGGACCCCTTGCAGCCGCGAGTGGTCGTTCCTCGCGTCGAGCTGTCCGGTGGCCACCTGCTCGGTCTCCGCGTCGTGCTCGTTGCACCAGGCGAGGGTCACCAAGTGCTCCGCAGTGGCGCTGGGGAGGTGCCTGGCGAAGAAGCAGAAAGCCGGGAAGAGAACGGCCCAACAAAGCAACATCATAAGCAACAATAAGCAAACTCCCTAAAGGCAGAAATCAAGTCAAATTCAAACTCCTTAAAACATGTTTCAAACAAAATCCTCCAACAAGAAGGTGAATCAACATGCTCCACTTCTGCACTTACAAGCTCAAAAGTCCAACACACTCTTCCGATTTTGGTTGCGTCACCGCGCCCTTTCTGTGCCAGCCAGCGGAACCATCGAGCTGCTAGGAATCGGGTGGAGAGCGCCCAGGGGCCTTGCGCCGGGTAGGGCGAAGGGCCCAGGTGAAAGCCTGCGCGCTCCAGCTCCTCATCCACGAGTCGTTCCAAGGCCTGACCACGTACATCGTGCAGCGCGCACATCGGTAAACCGGCGTACGGGTGCAGGGCACTGAAGGACGGCGCAAAGGTAAAAGGCCAAAATGAAGAGTCAGGTGAGGGGCAAACACCCAAAGTGATGGGTATGTGTGGGGCTCCCTCCCCTCCCACTCATGGATTAAGCTGGCAACTTGAAAACAAATGAACACATGTAACACATGGGCACAGTTTTCGAGTTGGATGATTTTGCAGGTATGCTCGGCTTGCTTATGATATCTTATGATCAGTCTTGGCTTTTTGCAAGTGCGCCACAAGCACGGTAATACTTAAAGAACCATCCTCAATGACTCCCAACCTCCAAGTCGAACGCACTTTTTGGCTTGGCTTGAAAAAGGCTTCCAGTCCCAAACACTCGTATTTCCCAAACCCTCCTCTCTTTTGAGCCTTCTTTTTGTTGGAGCTAGTCAGCTACTCCCTCCAACCCCCCCGAGCTAAGCCCAGAAGCGCGCTTCTCACCGCGCGCACCGCGAGACCGCATTCTCCCGCGCCTTGGGTGTCCCGCGGAGGTCTCCCGGCAGCAGCCGCGCCAGGCCCACCGGGAGCTGCGTGGCCCAGGGCGTCGACAGCACCACCGCCGCCTCCGACCGGCGCAGCGGGCGGCCACCGCGGAGGCGGTCGTAGGTGGAGCCCAAATCGCCATAGCCTAGGGGGGAAACGCTGGGGGAAACGCCATAGCCCTGGGGTCTGCCTAGGGGAGCCTTGGAGTGGAGTGGATTGATTTGGGAAGATGTGAACACATGTGGGAAGTGGATGGAAGTGTTAATATACCTGATATGATTGTGATATGGTCATGCTGGAGAGAAGGCACAACTGCCAGTCTTTTCACCACTCTGTTTCATACTTCCACCTTCTGCGTTCGGATGATTTCACTTCAAGTACCAGTACCATTTTCATGCCTCGTTACTATGAATCTCCACCATTCCATGCCCAAGCTCACTGGCCATCCTGATCTCATGCAAAGCGTTCCGGTACCACGTCTCCAACAGCTCCGAAGCGCCGACCTTGAGGTGCTCCTGTCGTCCATGACCGAGGATTCTCCCACGTTCTGAGCCAGCAATCTTCCATGTCAGCCAATTAGTTTCTTTGAATCCCTGCAAGTCTTCTCTGGTTTCAGCAAACTCCCTTCCGGACCTCCACCGCTTCATGTTTGGCTCCAAAGGAAAAGAGGGACCCAACGTGTACACGCCGTCTCACTTGGTTCTTGGCGAAGCGGCACCTATTTTGCTTTGTATGGGTCCCTCATGGTCCCTCCATGCCCCTCCCCTCCCTGTGTGCGATTTCGCAAGAAACGCACGCGGAGTACCTTCTGCCTCTCCGAAGAAAACCCGTCCTTGGACCACGCGCTCAAGGCACCCTTCCCAAACAAGGTTTCAGCCTCCTCCGTCCGGCCCAGCCAGCCGCGATTCAGGTCCATCAAACCCCGCGGCAAAATGGGGCGAAAACCCGGTGCTTGCAGCTGGGTGCAGCACACCTCGAAAGCTTCGCCACTGCCTGGCGACTTGAGAGACTTTGCGCCACAAACAAAAGAGCGATTTAACTATTCAAGCTGACCCTCAAACTGAAGTATTTTGAAGGACCAAAAGATTTGGGAGTTTGGGTTGTTTTTCTTTTGCAAGCTCTTGGTGCCGGAGTGGGTGGGCTCCAAATATCAAACTACTCACATTTATAATCATATATATATATATAATATATATAGTTCATATACCTGGACCTTCCAACTGTGCAGAATTTCTGCCTTTTCATCAATTAAACCAACAAAAAGGCAAACATTTTGCACAGTTGGAAGATCTAGGTATGTATATGCACACATCCGCGAGGAAATTGTTTATGGACGACGTACTTTGCACAATCCACTTTAAGTCTCCACGCCCCCCCAAAACCAGCAACATATGATACCATGGTGGTCAACTCTCATAATGCAAACGGAACCCATACAAACTGATCAAACTGTGCAGGGACAAAGTTGGACTGTGGGGCCCATGATGGACAGCTTCTGATGCCTTCAACCACATCGGTTTTCACCAGTTCCGTTTTGAGAAGGACAACCCCCATCCCCCAAACATCACTTTAAACACACACTTGAGATGAGTGCTCCGCTGAGCGTGGCTTCAGAGATTCGCGGTGAACGTTAGCCCTTTATGTTACTGCAGTAGCCAGTGAATACTTAGCACTTGACCCGATGCAACGGTAAGAATGCTGGGTCAGTTCAACAGAATGTTTCAACACAGGTGAGACTCAGATATTCGCGGTGAACGTTAGCCCTTTAATGCCCTTTATGTTACTGCAGTAGCCAGTGAATACTCAGCACTTGACTCGGTGCAACTGTAAGAATGCCGGGTCAGTTCAACAGAATGTTTCAACAAGGGTGAGACGTGACTAATCGATTAAACAAGTGCTCCGCGGAGCGTGGCTTCAGAGATTCGCGGTGAACATTAGCCCAATTAGCCCTTTATGTCACTGCAGTAGCCAATGAATACTTAGCACTTGACTCGACGCAACGGTAAGAATGCTGGGTCAGTTCAACAGAATGTTTCAACAAGCTTGAAATGAATCGAAGGAAGTGATTGAAACATTGGCAGGTACGTCGAAAGAGCGTCCTCTTTCGATATCCTAGTCTGAACCTGGAGCTTCGTTGGCTCACGCCAGGAACAGACCCGTGAGCCCCCTGCAGCTGTACAGGTGAATAAAAACAAGCGGAATAGGTTAGTGACTGCCCCTTGGAACGGGGTTGGACACACGCACGCACAAAAGGATGAAACGGCGCAGCTAGTTAAGGGAGAAGAAGTCAACTCATGGTCACGCATGCTCATAATCACTCCGCAATCGTTTCTTCGATGTGGCTGTAGCATTGCAGCACAATGTGTGCTGTTTTCTGTTTCTTTTTTCTTTTTCTTTTCCTTTTTGCCAGGGGTGTGGACGGGTGTTCGGGCGTGCATTGACTAAACGAGCCTGGATGTCACCTAACAAGCCTGAAGAAAAGAACAAGAAACACGAAAAAGCAAGGAAAGAAGAGAAAGGTGCAAGGGGTGCGGGGGGGCAGGGCGTGCGTTGACTAAACGAGCCTGGAGGTCACCTAACAAGCCTGAAGGAAGGAACAAGACAAACGAAAAGGCAAGGAAAGAAAAGACAGGTGCAGGGGGTGTGGGGTGGGGTGGATGCTCTTGCGAACAATCGGCACTGGGCCATAGGCACTGGCCAAGAAGCCGAAATCGGCGCATAAAAAGTGAATACTTAGCAGAACCTAAGAGTACTTAGCAGGCTAAATTAAAACTTGGAAAGCTTCCGTGGTGAAACAGATTCAGTGAGCTCTGCAGCTTGGTTCAGAGTGGATTTCAGTAGGCTCTGCAGCGATCCTTCACGAGCACCGTGTGAAACATTTCCATCAATCGTACTTCGAGCATCAAAATCAGAAGGGAAGTTCAGTCGCAGGTCCAGTAAGGACTATACATCATTTCTCATATAAAGGGGGGGGAAAGAAACACTCGGTAACGGCGCCCCGCAGGGCGCACACAGCTTACCACAGTGGGAAGAAGCTGCGAATCACACTTGAGATGAGTGCTCCGCCGAGCGTGGCTTCAGAGATTCGCGGTGAACGTTAGCTCTTTATGTTACTGCAGTAGCCAGTGAATACTTAGCACTTGACCCGATGCAACGGTAAGAATGCTGGGTCAGTTCAACAGAATGTTTCAACACAGGTGAGACTCAGATATTCGCGGTGAACGTTAGCCCTTTATGTTACTGCAGTAGCCAGTGAATACTCAGCACTTGACTCGGTGCAACTGTAAGAATGCTGGGTCAGTTCAACAGAATGTTTCAACAAGGGTGAGACGTGACTAATCGATTAAACAAGTGCTCCGCGGAGCGTGGCTTCAGAGATTCGCGGTGAGCATTAGCCCTTTATGTTACTGCAGTAGCCAATGAATACTTAGCACTTGACGCGACGCAACGGTAAGAGTGCTGGGTCAGTTCAACAGAATGTTTCAACAAGCTTGAAATGAATCGAAGGAAGTGATTGAAACATTGGCAGGTACGTCGAAAGAGCGTCCTCTTTCGATATCCTAGTCTGAACCTGGAGCTTCGTTGGCTCACGCCAGGAACAGACCCGTGAGCCCACTGCAGCTGTACAGGTTAGTAAAAACAAGCGGAATAGGTTAGTGACTGCCCCGTGGGCACACACACACAGAGACGCCTGCGCGCGCGCGCGAACCGGGTGGCGGCTGCCTTCGTCATGCCATTCATTCATCTCCTCCGCCACCTCAGGCCGATTCTCGGGCCATCCCGCCACAAAGCTCGCCACCGTGTCCAACTCCGCTGTGGCGTGGGGCGCCACCAGCAGCACCGGAGCACGGTCCGCGCCGCCCTCGCGCCGCTGCAGGGGAGTCTTGGGGCTCAAGGAGGCCATCGCGTCAGCGAGGTCGGGCGGCTTTAGGGCTGAGGTCGGTTCTGAGTGGTAGGACCTGCTGAATTGTTCACTCTCTTGAACTCAAATGAAGGGATTGTGGAGCCCAAACGGCAGCTCAGGTTGCGGATCCAAGTAGTCGGTTATGGCGAAGAAAGGGCAATCAGGTATCCGGAAATCCGCTTGATGTGTGATTTAGAGGGCGACTTGGGTTTTTGGGGAACGGGAACGTTAACAAACGGGTTTGCCACTGCTAGGTCTGCTGTGATCATGGAACAATGCAAGTCACCAAGTTCTGGAGAACCCCAAAAAACCATCGGTTGAGACTATTGAGATGCCAATGGCACGGCGTTCCGTTGGATCGCCTCTGTTTTTTACATAGAAGAGCGTCTCACCTGGCTTATTGTCAAGCCTCTTAGCCAATGCTGATAGGTATATTTAGCAGTATATTCAAACAGCCTACGGTACTCCGTAATTCGGACACCTATGCCTATATAATATATACAGTGGGTTCAGAGTGGGTGGCACAATCCCCCTTTTGCTATCTGCTGCTTCAGATGATATGGATCACCAGATATGGATCACAAGATGCGGATCACAAGACATGGATCACCAGATATGGATCACCAGATGTGGTTCACCAGATATGGATCACCAGATGTGGCTCACCAGATATGGATCACCAGATGTGGATCACCAGGTATGGATCACCAGATAGCAATCACCAGATGTGGATCACCAGATATGATATTCATTTACTATTTTAACTATATTTCATTTCAGACTATTATTTAAATTGCTTGCAGCAAAATGCCAAGCTCTGGTCCTTTCATTTGCCGCCTCACTCCCGCTCAGGATAGTGTCTCAGGCGGCAGTTGGGGTAATTGCAACACCTGAACCACCGCCCTGCCCGCTCCGCCTTGTCCAATACAACTCCCACCTGGCCCTGGGTTGCCCGCACAAAGGGCACATGTGGAAAGGTCCAATGAAACTTGTTGGCTCAGGTGGGGCCACCCAGGCGGCGTGCGTGAGGGCGCTCTGGAATGTGTGTGGCATGGAGGGGGTTTGCGGTGTCTGAGTCACTGAAGTGCTGGGCCTTGGGCGCCTGATTGGTGTGGTTACTGGCGGTGGAATGGCAGCTGGACGAGGGGGCAGTGAAGCGGTAGCTGGGGGAGGGTTTGCGGGCAATGCAGCTGCTGGTGGTGGGTGAGCCGATGATGCAGGGGCGGCCGATGACCGTGGCACCCAATCCCCAAAGACATTCATCACCATTGGCCCTGCAGGTGCAGCAGAGGAAGCAGCCCTGCGTTTCCGCACTTCCTCTTCTACCTCTTCGGGCATCAGTGGAATGCTGTACATTCTCGGCTTCTCCTTTTGTTCCATGGCATAAGACACCTCTTCCTCTTCTTCGGCCTTCCGCTTCTCCTGTTGCAGCTTTTCCATCCACGTCGCTTCGGCGGCCTTTTCGACCAGTTGCTTTTCTTTTTTTCGAGAGCTTGCCTAATTTTTTTTGCTTCTGCAAGTACGTGCATGGCCATGATTTGGCGCTTGGCCTCTTCATGGCCATCCCCATGTGCCAAGCATTTGATGTAATGTTGGCGCCTGATTAGTAAATAGGCCCCCCCCCCCTCCCCTCAAACAAACAGGGGTTCTCTATAATAAACTATCACCAAAACAAATCTGGATTCCTGGTGAGGGATCTTTTGTAATTGATTGTCGTATTCATTTTCCTTTCATAGATTGTATTCAGCTTCCTTTCTCAGGCGCTTTGTAATTGTTCTCTTGTTCTCAGTAACCCTTTTGCTTTGCAGCCTCAGATCTTCAGCTCAAGAGAAGCCCCAAGCTTTCAGCTTCTTCCTCAGCTCCTCAGCTTCCATGGCTTTCTAAGTAAAGGAAGATTCCATGAACAATTTTTTCAGTGGAAAAAAAACTTTTCACAATTGAGGACCCAAAAACAAATTTATTATCGAGGATCAGGTGCCTTCCTGGTCTACTGCCTGGAAAAATTTGTTTAGGAGCAATGTTTTATAACGGGTTTAATTGGGGAATTGGTGGTTTTGGTCAGCTGTCAGTTTTGAA